TTGCAAAATCCACTTTATGACCACAGTGTATCTTTCATCTGATGGCTGCTTCCAAGAAGATAGCATGCCATGTCACAAGGCTTGAATAATCTCAGACTGATTTCTTGAACATGACAATGAGTTCACAGTCATCTGTCATCTGAACGGGATGCGGTGGAACGAGAGGTTCACATCACAGGTTATGATGCTGTCGTGTCACCGTGGACCAATATCTCTGATGAATGTTTCCATCACCTTGTTGACTCTATGCCATGAAGAAGAAAAAGCTAATCTGAAGGCAAACAGGGTCCAAGGTGTAGTTAATAAAGGGACCAGTGGGGACCACAATTTTATCAGTCTTGAGTTGAAAATGACCAGCTATTAAGACAATTACGGTATAACATTAAAACAAAATAGGTGGTAATGCTTAAGGGTTCTTCTACTTTTGGTACTTAAAACAATATATTTTGATGCCGCTAGTTTAATACTTATACTTCAGTATTTCTCTCACCACTCCACCTTTTGAGCTCTCAGTTTATCACTCAGTCCAGCCCAGTTTATGTGACTCTGTATAGCACTTCACAATCTGCACCCCAACTTATTTGCTGACAAACGGTTTCTCGCTCTTTTGGGACCTCCACATTCTACTTTATCAGTACTGACTTTTAAATTACTCTCCTTGCAGTTTTTTTCCCTACAATAAAACTTTGTGCTACATGCCATAACTAATCAACATCATGACAAAGATGTTAGCAGAAATCTGCTGGAGGAGACATGACTGTGAGGTGTCACGTAGTTGATAGTCAGTCGGCTAACCATCACAGAGTTTTTAAGGTTGGTTATTTTCTGTGCTTCATGGTGTAAATTGAGTCACACTTTTCAAAAAGGTGTGTAGTGTGATCTCTTTTAAGATCAGTGCATACAGATGCCTGATTTAGAGAGATTTCTTTCTATTATTATTATTATTATTATTACATTTCACCATGTAAAAGGAAGCAGATGAATAATAGTCCTGGTGGTTGAGAAAGCCTGTCGATTCTGAGTGTTATACCTGCCTGTATGGGTTACTCTGTGCCCTTCAGGGAGCAGAGCCATGCTCTGTCTGCAGTGCACTAATTAGTGCCATTAACACCACAGCCATTAATCATAACTCTTGAATAAAATGTGAAAATTACATGTAGGAGAGCAGCATCAAAGTGAAACCAGACAGTTTTGATGCATTTCACCATTTACTACTGATTCTGGAAGAGAGAAGCACAGAATGGACAGTAAAATAAACTGATAAGAATAAGACTCATTCATCTTAGCAATAAAGCTCCTGTGTTCTAAAACACATCTATTTTTCAGCAGACACAGTTTCAGGATACAGGTCCGGAATTTTTGAAGTATTTTCAGCACATTTTTATTACATATTGGGTGGCACAGTGGTTTCTTCAGAGCAAGAATCCGCTGGGTTCGACTCCACCGGTTGGCTGGAGCCTTCTGTATGGAGTTTTGTATGTTTTCTCCGGGTATTCCAGTTTTCTCCCACGGTCCAAAGACATGCACAATGCACATTAATTAATTGGTGATTCTAAATTGGCTATGAAGGTACGAATGTGAGCATGATTGGTGGTCTCTGGGCTCCGGCCCAACGTAACCCTGAATTGGATAAGTGGAAGAAATTGCATGGAGGGATTTTTAGTTTTTCTATGTACACTGTGTTTTCTTATAATAGGTAAGGTTTGATTTCCCAGCAGTGTAGCCCACAAATCCCCCTCCACATCACCTGGAACACTTCCAAAATATAGTCAAGTAAATTTGTATCATGATGGATTACCCACATACGCCAAGCTAGGTGGTTTTTCAGTTCTACAGGAAACAATTTAAAAATAACTCCTTGTCTTTGAAATGCTGACTGAAACTGAGGCTTATATCCTCCTATAAATATTGTTTGTTTCACATGGCAAGTTCATCTTAACATAATCAATTTGGATCACCCAGAGATTTACTTCTGCTTTAATTGTATCCATTGAACAACTTCTTAGATCTCCTTCTACCTATAAGTGTTCGCTACATACAGAATCTGCTTTTAGCAGGGTGGTGGTTATCTTTGGTGTCTTGATTTCAAAATCCTCTTTAATGAGGTTAGAAATCTACTTTGTTTCTTTCCTTTTCCCTCTTAAAATAAGGATGTATTTAAAATGGAGCAGAGTTTTCTGCTCTCCTCTGTGAACCGAAGTCCTCAGTAATTGCATCTCATGGGACTCAGGCTTCATTTGTTGCCCAGCGAAGAGACAGAATCTCCAGCAGAATACATAAAACAAACCGGGGTGTCTTAGAAAAACACTTTTTCCTCATTTTATACAATGTGCACTCAATTCACCTGATCAATAATTGAAGCGTGCCCCGTGAGTTTAGTTTTTGATTTGTTCCATTACGTATCCAACTGGGAGAGGAGATAACTTTGTTAAAGGAGTCATTTAAGATGACGTCTGAACAAACCCTTAAGCTTGACCACTAATGGTCAACCATTCCTGTGAATGATTGGAAGAAACTTGAAAGACAAAAAGAGATGCTTTAATTCTGTGCAATGCATTAGGGTGGGAAACAATATCTTCCCTACTCCTCTGGGTCAATCAATAAGATAAGATTGTCAGAATATGCATATTAATTCTCCTTGATGCAGTTTCCTTGTTTGTGTGGTACCAATAGATAAGAACGCCATGTGTATCCAACACAAAGTGACTGCTGGAGATAGCAAAAATCAGTGTGCACAGCTGAAATTCTGCTGGCTAGAACTCTGAAAATAAAAACCCATTTTCCTCTTCTCTCTAAAATACAGCACAAGATCAATGATGACTATACAGTTAAGAATGCCCTCTGTCTCTTTTGTCTCTAAGCAGACTCTGTGCCCTGTTTTCCTATAATTTTCAGCAAAAATGCAATAGAAGACCCAAAGATCATTAAGAAGAATCGCAAATTAAAGATGCCTTTTAATGCCGATGATAGCGACTGTGTTCCTGTTCTATTGGGTTATATGTAGTAAATGAAACAGGCTTGAATTCTAACTAACATTAAAGCTGCGCTGATTCATTTTTTCTACTCTTTATTACAACATTTATCACAGTGCAGATACACTCGAGCCTCCGGTCAATCGATTAGACGGGTTTGAAAGATGCATTAATCAATATTTCTGTACTAACACTGAATCACATTACTGACGTACAAGTGATAAACACGCACACACAGAATTATCACTTAACTATACAGCTTCCCACAGTGTGGCTGCTGCCTTTTATCTCTACTTTGCCGCTCTAGTCGTCATAATTTACAAATGCATTAGGCAGCTGAATTCAATGAAAAGGCCTTTTGATAAACACCTTCTATTCTACATGTCCAAAGTGCAACATTACAGGGAGCACAGATGGAGTCAGGCACTAGTAGCTGGTGGAGTCTAAACCAAACTTAGTAAATGCCAGAGCTTTCACTGGGGGTGCACACACACAACTCCAGCTGATTACTAAAGTTGCTTGCAGCTTGTTGCACAGCTGGAAAACAGCAAAAAAAAAAGTCGCATTAAAAAGTCACGTATTGCTAAATGAGGCCGATTGTGCAGTTTTTAAAGTCCAGAGTCACTCTTAAAAGGAAAAATAAAAAGCAGCCATGTGTAAAACCACAACACCAGTCATATTAACATCTGAGCTGGAGATTGTCTCTGAGCCAACACAACATCACTTTAACAAAGGAAGGAAAGCGACAAATTAAATATCTGAGCTTAAAAATGTACCTAATGTGGTCATCCACATAGTGAGAACGAGCTGGAGGCAGGAGTAATGAGCTGGAGAAAGAACAGCGGGGAGGCGCTTGTCTCGACAGCTGATTAATGAGACCGTAACAGAATTGGATTTGAATATCAATGCTGCTCTATTGCTTAAACTGACATTAATTGCCACCTATTAGATTGGCGCTGCACCTCTGTATTTCAAAACAATCACCACCATTGGGAGATTAGAAGGAGGGAGGGAAAAAAGGGTGGGAGGCCAAGTGAGTGTATCATTTGACAGCTGGTGCTGTGTGACAGGTTTCACAGTTACAACTTTGTGTATGTGTGTATGCCAGTGTGACACATGTGAATAAGAAAAACAAAACATAATTTCTAAGCCAAAAGAACCCTATAATGCCCCCTGGAGGCTGAAGTCTTAACTGCATGCCAGAATCATTGTTATGAGATGCATTTAGTTTGTGGAGCTAAAGAACCTGATCCCACGATACCCTCACACAGGTCATAATCTTTATAAAAGATCATGACGTTGTTACGACTGGCCTGTTGGCTGAGAATAATGATTGTCACACGCCAATTTAGCAAGAATGAATTATTTCCTATTTTTACATTTTAGACGTGCAAGTAAAGGAATTTTGATTGTATTAGATGAGCGATCAGGCCACCAAAATCATTAGGGGTGATATCTGTGGCAAGCTGGTGGATTAAGTGGCCAACAGCTGCTGAGCTGACTGGACAGACACAAAGAGAGAGAGAGAGAGAGAGACATAGAAGCCATCATTAAACTCGGCTGTTAGTGTGGTTCAAATGTCACTACAGCAGGGTCATTTTGCACTTCTTTGACAGTAATCACTGGAAATGGAGTGTTTCATTTGTCTTTCTTGCACCCACTTTATTTTTCTCATCTTTCGCTCGCTTCCCCTCCATGCTTCTTTCTCTTACTCCCAGAGTAATTGATATGATATGAGCTCTGGCAAGTGTAATCTTCTTTTAATTAAGTCCTGGTGCTAGCGCCAGCTTCACGCTGATAGTGACTTATGACTTTCCCCCTTTCATTTTTCTTGTGCTCCTTTATAATCTTGTTTTACCTCTGTTGCTCCTCCAACTTTGGTTCTCTCATCTCTTTCGTTATCTCTTTTCTCTAACCCTCACTTCCTGCCCCTCATCTTATCATCCACTCTGTCATCCTTGGGGTTTTTTCCTTCTGTTTTTCTCCAGTTTCTCTTTTAACTTGTCCATTCTTTCTCTTACACTCTAGTCACAGCACCACGAGGAGGAAAAGAGAGCCCTCAGCCGGGAAATCATTGTTCTCAACAATCATCTCATGGAGGCGAAGATCACCATTAATAAACTCAGAGAGGACAATGTGAGTACTTAAAGCTACTCCATCTATATAATGTAAGTTCCCCATAACACCTCTTGTCAGCACTGGGAATATACCTGAAGCTAGGTTATTTGGACAGTTTCTGAACTTTTTGGTATGATTGCTTGCCCAGATTATATTTTGCCTGCAGGCACAGTAGCCCAGGAAATCCAGGGCACAGAGACTTGATGCCCTGGGGCAGCTGCCTTCATTCCTTACTTACTTGGTGCCTTGTTAGCACCAAAACAATAGTTGGTTTTGGATGATAAAAATCAACTCTTTCTGAGGAGAGCACTTCCTCATGTCAAACTGGAAGTCACACTCACTGTATTTCTGCAACATCCTCAATATTTGTGCTTCAAGGTGTCACAGCAGATAGAGGAATTAACTCTAAGCCACTGGATGTTTTATAGTGATAGAACTGAAATCAATGGGCATCCTCGGGGCTGGCAGAGGTTGAATCCACAGCTGCATAGACCTGAGTTCAACGGCATGTGGAAATTTGGTGCCTCGCTTTTCTTTGAAGTGATTTTACTGTTTTTTTCTTGTGGAGGGGCTCTAGGATGAGTTAGATTTTCTCTTACCGCTCTATGGCAAATTTTTAGCACTTCTGAGCTATAGAGCCCTCTTACAATCCTCCCCTCCAACATCCAGCGGAGGTGATTAGAGACGAGGTTCATTTTGAGTAGGTTTCAGAATTTGTCCCAGCAGTGCCAGCCGTGAGGCAGACATTTCCTCTGGAGATCAACCGTCAAATTTTCTGCTCAAAACACAAAGAAATAAAATAAAACCTCACAGTTGTGTCATGCCTGAGACCCACTGCCACAAAACACACTACAAATGAATTGTGTGTTTGCTTTACACTTAACTGATGAAGCCGTTTAATCTACAGCAGTTTGCAATTGTCCTGAATTACCCCTCATGTCTTGATATTTTGCAAGGAAAATGGAAAACAGGTCCAGCAGTTTATTAAAAAAATGTACAAACATACATGGAAATACAGTATAAGGCAAAAACTTGAGTTTTCACAATTCTAACAGGCTTTAACATAGTACATGGTACATACACGAGCATGGTAAATACATGGTATTTAAGGACATGATCCTGTTCATCTGCTGTGGATAGGGTTTTTGGTTGGTGGTTGGTGTAAAAATATCATTTATGTGTCAAGCTGTGTTATCTCTTGGCATTTTTGAAAGAGCCAACTACAGAAATAGAAACAAATTATGTATTTTTGCAATAGGCTGCTAGTAAAGTGTCCAAATACACTAAGTTGTCTGTTATGTGCAAACAATGCTGGTTTGTCCCTTGAATTAGAAATTAGGAACTGAGGCCTTGTCTTAGGGTATTTATGCTTGAATGCTTCATAGGTCAGTGTCAAGTGACTTAAAAAAACAAAAAATATTCTTCTAAAATTGAAAGACCTTCAGGAAACCTGGAGAAGTACACCTCAGGACCACTTTAAACATTACAAAAAGGTGTGTCTATTAAGAAGCAAAGCATAAAGAAATAAGGCGGGGCTCAAGACTTTTGCACAGTACTGTAGAAGTTGTTACATATCCTATATATTGACAGGCAAAAGAGGGCATCAAGATGTTGATGATCCCCAAAGACTGTTCAAATGTAATAAATTACCTACAAAGATAATGACTGTGAAAGTAAATGGCTCTAATTTCACAACAACTTGAAGGAAAGAATCTACTCAATTCACACATTCAGAGATTATTAATATAGTGTACATAAAGAACTGATCATAAGACATCACAAAGTCTGCCTCACAACCAGCTGGAGCAACAAAGCTGTCAGCTGGCACTCCCAGGAGAGACACACCACACAGTTCATATTAACTAAGACATCACCAAAGGTCTCAAAGGTCTATTTGAACTGTCCCGAAAAACTACAGGGACTTCAAATGTCTCTTTTCACCAAAACAGGGGAAAAAAAGATTCAAAAAGCAGCCACTGTTAACTGGTGGGGGAGTTGAGACTGTCAAAGAGAGGGCTTTGATGTTATGGGGGGAAAATGTCAGGGTTGTGCTATTAAAGAGAAACAGGAAAGCTACAGTGCAGCATGAACTGACCTTTATAAGTGGACAGGTTTAACAGAGGAGGGAGACGAAAAGAAAACCTTCTAAAACCAGTTAACCGCCCACACTAACACATGCACGCACAGTAAACGAAGAAAACAATGAAACCAGGCATCTGTTGTGCCAGTAGACCACCCTCACGGTGCTCTGAAATTTGAGCAAAAATTTAATAACCATTCTTTTCAGAAAGAAAGCATGGGTAAAGAGATGAATAATGCTGTACTTGCTTCCTTGGCTGGAAGGTGCAGATAAGTTAATGTGCTGTTTCAGACAACTCTAATAAAATTAGCACAGTCTGCACAGGGCAGATATGTCTAAAGAAAAGTTTGCTGGTATTGTAAAGATTCTGCGAACTACCCAGTGAAATTATGTAACCAAGATGCATATATATGCTTCTTGGTTACATATATTTTTATGTTCAGCTGTATTGTTGCACACTCTCCTGATTCCCCCCTCAGACATCTCCCATAATTATAAAGCACAATTAGAAGGTTTTACTCAGGGATGGTTTAAACTCATAACACTCCTCACTCACAGCATGCTTTAGTTATCAAGATGCCAAAGAAAACCCTGTGTGTGTGTGTGTGTGTGTGTGTGTGTGTGTGTGTGTGTGTGTGTGTGTGCGTGTGTGTGTTTTAAGTGAATGGGAATGATCTTTTTGCTTTTTTTTCAGGACCTGTACAGGAAAGACTGCAATCTGGCAGCCCAGCTGCTGCAGTGCTCCAAGTCTCACTACAGAGCACATAAGATGTCTGAGGTGAGCTCACCAGCACTGCCTGCTGCAGCTACATCAGTGCAGGTTTAGGTTTGTGCTGCAGTAAAAAAAAAAAAAAAAAGTTCAGCTTTAAAGTTCGACGCCGACCATTTAAGCAAAGATGTTTTCCCATATGGAAAAGATATATATAAATCTTATAAAGTTTGTATCTGTCTTGTGTGAAACTTGTATGAAAAGCATATAAGAGTGAAAACAGATATAAGATCCCTTGAAAAATTATATAATGAAACTTGTATGTTTTGGATACTTACTAAAACAATGTATGAAAGTAATGTGAAAGTGGCCACTTTCATGAGTAAATCATGTAAGCCTTATATGATTTACTCATGAAAGTGGCCACTTTCATGAGTAATCACATATAAGTTTTTACTATTTCTTTTCCATATGGGTTGTTTATTTAAATTACACTCCAAACAAGGTTAGTCTAGACGAGCGGCAGGAAATTGCAGTGTTTACATCTGAGAACTTTATAAAGTGTATTAATAAAATAACATAGTTGGGTCTTTACTATTTATTATTTAATGCGGTTTAAGTTTTCATTTTTCATTCAAGCAGCATGTTGTACAAAATGCTTTGCTTGAATAAAGTCTTTTAGAAAGTGCTACATCTGAATTCAGTATACAAGGACACACTAGTCGAGCATTTGAAACGTACTGCTGATGCTGCTTTAGTGTATTCTACTTAACACTATGGACACACTTTGGTAACTCCTGCCATGTCGGGATTTCTCCACCAAAATTTACTTTCAAACAGCATTAGCTCCTTTCTTTCACAAATATTATTGCCAACATCTAATAATACATAATGTTAGTTTAAAGCATTAAAACATTTCCAAGCATTGTGTGAAACCTTAACTCATCAGCTTAAATCCAACATACAGCTCTGAGGCTAATGGACATAACTACCTCAGCCACGAGTAAGCTTGAGATGGTTTCATTTACTTGTACTAATAAAGAGGAAATTAAATGTATTTTTCTTCTAATGAAGCAAAGTTTATGATATTGTGTTGGTGTACCATTAAAAGCCTTCTTGAGTGGTTTTCACAATAAGAAGGAGCCACAGAGCTCATGGCCTCTCCTCTCAGACTGATGAAGGTCTGCTGTCTGAAGTACCATCTGTGTGCATCTTAGCTGTGCATAATAAATGAATGAAAGGCTGGCTTGTGATGACACCTGAGGCACAAAAGAAAGGGAAAAAATCTGTAGACCTGGGCTCATAATTAAGTGAAGCACTACCTACAGACTACTTGCATCACTAAAAAACCCATTGATATAAATGAAATAGAGCAATAATGAATTCAGCTTGTTAAAACTCTGAAAAGGGGATGTTTTATGCTTTTCTTTAAATAAACACATTTAGGACTTTTGGGCAGGAAATTGAGTCCACTGGCTAAGAGGGAGCTCATCTAATCTTTGCTGAACAGCAGCACTGTAGCCACAATGCAATAACACTAATTGCATATAGCTGCCAGAAACTGATTCAGATATGGCTGTTAAACTTAAATATGCATGCCAAGTATGTTTTTCTATAGAAAACATGAATCATCTAGGAATCTTTCACAGAAGTACATTAGTATTGCATGCATTAACACCAGTGTTGGGTAAGTTACTTTAAAATAGTAACTTAGTTACATTACTAGTTACTTCTCTCAAAAGTAACTCAGTTACTTCAAGTTACTCGTTACTTTCAAAGTAACTAGTTACTAGGGAAAGTGTCTGTGAAGGTTCTCAGTCATCCAGGTCATCGTAGTCAAAGGAGCTTGCAAAGAAAAGCGTCTGGACTTCTTTAAGTTGCTTGAAGACGTTTCACCTCTCATCCGAGAAGCTTCTTCAGTTCTAAGGTCAAGGCTGTGCAGCAAAGACACAGAATAACTCCAGCTTTGTGCCTTTTTCATTGTAGCTGAATTACGGGACAAACTGTTCCTTTTCACCTCAATAAGAAACGCGTAATATTTTCTCTGAATACCAGACGGGACGGTTGGCAACTCTAATAACTTATGAACAAAATAAAGTTCAACATCATTAACATCATAGCACCCACCCAGCTGTATAGAAACTCCGTCATGCTAGCTAGCACGCAGTACGGAAAAAGTCAGAATAACGAAAATAAACTCCAACTAAACTTGGTTTATATCTGACCCAGAGAGACTGCAGGTCATAACTTCTTACCTGAAGTTCAGTTCACACTTGGACCGGCGGCCGCCTCGGGTCTCTTTTCCTTCTGCGTCCCTTTTCCTTCATCCACCTGCTGGCTTCCACCACTTGCTAATGTTACTGAATCTGTGGAAGCTCCGCGATAGCCACCACACGAAGTAACGAATAACGAGCCTATCTAAATCCCAGTAACGAGTAACGCGTTCCTGATTTTGGCATAATAACTAGTTACCGTGCTCGTTACCACAATAATAACGTAGTTACTGTAACGCGTTACTTAATAACGCGTTAGTCCCAACACTGATTAACACAGGCAATACTGTACTGCATTAGTGAGGGTAATTAGTGCTACACTTCGATCCACAAACATTGCCTTCTCTTTCATTTGCACTCTTCTAAATGGCATCAGCTGGGGAATATGTTTGTGACTGGAGCATGTAGTATTGGCCTCAGTTTTGAAGCACTATAGCTGCTGTGCATATTTAGAGTAACATTTAGACATGTTTTGATCTAAGCTGACTGGAAACAGTAAAAATTCTGCTTTGGGGGATTTTGTCAGCCAAGAGATTCTTCTAGAAATAAGAGACCTAAGGGCTTAGTTTGCACAATGAAACTAAAGAACTACTGTCCAATTACCTGCTCCGCTGCTAAGTATAAACAAAATAAATAATCAAATTGTTTTATTTTATTATTATTTTTTTCATTCTAATAGAGAAAGACAGAATATCCACTAAAGAACACATTTAAAATAATTTAAATGTACACTGACAAACTTAGGAAAGGTCTGTGCATGTGTTTCCTGAGCAGGCGGACCTTAGAGGCATGTACTTAAAATAGTGAAAATCCTGACTGCTTCAAATCATTAACAAAGTGTCAGTCTGCTACTGACTTTTGTTTGGCTTCACTTATTGGATTGGAGGTCTGACAATTTAACAATTTATTAATTTAATAAATAGGGGCCTCAGTAGCTTGTGGAAGAACCACACACATACACAACAGCTTGGAAAACCTTCTCATACTCATTACCAGCGTCGTCACACAATGCTGTGGGACACCCACTTTGCAGCTGGTCTCTGACACTCCCTGTTATATGGACCCTGACCTTCAATTTGGTGGTGGTACTAGGACTCACTCCTAATCTGAAAACAGCTGACCGTTGTAGTTCACAGGTGACACTAATCAGGCATCTGATTGTCAGCGCCTGGGGTACCAGAAGCTCAAAAAAAGAGTCAATAGTAGAATAAGCTGTTGGCCAGACAAGCCCGTATACTTAAGTCTGCATTTTTCTCACATTTTTCTCGGCACCATTTAAGGAAAAATAAACAGGATTTCCAACAGTGTGAGATTTATTGCCAAGAAACATTGTTACAACAAAGAAATAATTGACCAAACACAAATGTACTTTTTTTGGTGCTAAGTTTAACTATTTCCCCCAGTTTAGATATGTAACAGATTTACCAAGATTAACTAAAGAAGCTATGGAGTGTGTCTTATTGCTAGTAAAACTAACATTTAATTTGAAATGTTTTATCTCCATTGTGAAGCAGGAAATATGGAGTTTAGGAACAAGGGGTGAATTTCTAGTCTTTTAAGTAACCAGCTCCACGATATGCTATTAATCCACTTATTGTAATAAAAGAAGACCTGCAGATGTGTTCGCTGTCACGTTGCTTAACACTGCACAACTATGTGACTGTTAATTAAGATCTGCCTCAGATAGCAACTAATGCTGAGCTGACTTACTTGGAGCACACACTGTATATTATCTTGCACTCTCCCCCCACAGCCTCACCTACTTTCCATCTCTATTCCCTCTGGGAGAGGCAACAGCTGCTAAAAATAGCCCAGACTTAAAAGATGCAGGTTATTTTATGCCGAGGCGAGCTTCTATTTCTTAACAAAGCTAAGTCAGAATTTTATCTATTTTTTCCCAATACCCAGCTGGAGACCCAGAGAACTGGTTTAATTTGAATCTAAGCCCTTCCCTGTGGAACCAATGTTGTTTGATGGTAGAAAGAGAAATAAAAAGACACACTAAAAGAAAAAAAAGAGAGATGGGGGGAATGAGAGTCTTTTGGTTGAGAAGGCAGTGGTGCAAGAGGAGAAAGATGAAAGGATAAAGAAAGGGATGAGTAGAAACAGAGCTCAGTGTGTCGGGAACAGTTCCTGCTGACCCTGACCAGCTTTAATAGGCACAAAGAGCCAGTCTGTAATTGACGGGAACATTTTTCTCAAACTGGAGCCAATCAAAGAGATTATGTGTCTGTCTGTGTGTGTGAGAGAGAGAGACACAGCAAGAAAAGGAGAAAGATGACAGGCTGAGAAACAGATGGAAGAAAGCAGGAAGGAAAGAAGAAATACTTATGTCTGTATAATTAAGTTGTGGACTCTGTAACACATAACTAAATCAAGGTTGTTTAGAAAGTTATTAAAGGTAGCACAGTTTCTTTGTGTTATCAGGAGAGGAATTCAGGTCAGACAGGGCATCTACCTCCAACTCGACTTCTTTAGGTTCATGAAGACATTCACCTCTCATTTAAGAGGTTTCATTTATCAAATGGCCGGTGGAGAGTACCAGGTTTTACTTCATAAGCCTTTCTTCACACCTTATTTCATGTGATGACTTTTATGACTAATAGTTGGTCACCAACCCTCAGGGCCACTTCCAAGGGTACAGCCCCTGCTAGTGGTTAAATACCTTGGATCCTCCACTAGTTGTAATAGAACTGAAGAAGCCTCTTGGATGAGAGGCAAAAGTCTTCAGACACCTAAAAAACGACCAGTTGCCCTCAATACTACCATGTATGGATGAATGAGAATGTAAACATTTCCCCCCTGAGACACATATACTGGTCTAAATCAAAGGAGAATTTTTGCACCTAGACCTACAGAAAAGTAAGAAATGGCATTTAAAAATACATTCAGTATTCAGTTAAAAAGGCTCTTGAAGAACTTATTCATTTTTAAAGAGCTTTGCTGAATACAAGCTCAGCAACTGTCACAACTTTTCAAAAACATTTGTTTTGCTGTTTTGGGTTGTAGTTTCCTGTCTTTATCCAGCTTCTTTTGTCTCTCTTTGTATTTCTCTTCCATGCCTCAGCTGCCACTGGATTTCCAGGAACGCATCAGTTCCCTCATGGAAAAACATAATCAGAGTAGTGGCGTCACCATGGCAATGTGTAAATCAAATTATCCAGACGCTGTGCCCACAGCCATAATTGCCAAGGTCCTGGAAAAGCCAGAGCCTGGAAGCAGTTGCCCTGTAACGCGTTCACCCAGCCCGCAGGCACAGGATGGAGACTTTCTGACAGGAACAGGAAGCACTGATCATCTGAACCGGCGCCTCTCTTATAAGACATCTGACCTGTACTGCAGCGACACGGCGCTCTACTGTCCTGAACGATGGCAGGACACCGAGCGCAGACAAAGTGTCGACCTTCATGGCACTGGCCTGCTTCAGCTTCACGCTCAGAACTCTGTTGACAGCAACCCCGATGAAGATGCTTTCCACTCTGGAAGTTTTTCCCACCATGAACCCCCATCCTCCTTCCGTCACCACGATGAGTTCGGCACTGGGAGTCTCCCAGTGTCCAGTTCCTACTCCAGTTTTAGTCTTGCATCAGATGAAAAGGGAGGAGTTAGTGGAGGATGTGGGCGCACTGGCAGCAGCACCTTATCTTCTTCCCACCAGGGTCTCTACATGGACTGGCGAGAAGGTAGTAGTGGAGACTATGAGCACAAAAGTATTTCCTCCTATGATAAAGACAGATCAAGCTTCCCCAAGTCCCACAGCATCCAGCACATGGCAACCCAAAGGAGCCCCCAGAAGGGCCCCTCACCAGCCTACACAAGGACAGCGTCATGTTTCAGTGAACCATTCCACTCCAGCACTCCTCGTCTGGCCTCCTCTCACAGCATGGGGTCTACAATTGGACTGGGCCAGGCTCATGGAGGAACCCTGGACAGCCAGGGTGATGTCCAGGTCTCCGAGGATGACCTGAGCAGCCGCTGGAGACAGCTCAGCGTGGAAGACATCAACACCTTCTCATCTTCTTATCGCAACATTACAGGGCGGGTTTCTCCATACAGTTTCTCTGAACGCCACTTTGCCATGGGCCCCTCCAGTAAAGTCAAAGGGTCTCTCTACAGCAGCTTCCAAGAAGGAGACGACGTCTTCCACAGTCGGGTGCTGGAGCAGTGCTTTCCCATGAGTTCCTCCTCTCCCAGCCGCAGTCCCAAGCCAAAAGAGCATCGCAAGCAGGAGAAAACTTCTGTGCTGTATAGAGCCAAGGATGACAGTCAGGACTCTGAGAGCAGTTTGTTCCTCTCAGGGAGCTCTAAAGACAAGGAGAGCAGCGGGGGAGCGACAGCGGCAAGCAGCGCAAAGAAGGACTACGTGAATCTGAGCGCAGACAGTTCGGCTGATTCCTTACACCAAAGCTCACTTGAAGCCTCAAGTCTTCAACACTACCCCACCCCCAGGCCGAGCGTCCGGCCCCGCCCGAGCTCCAGCTCTGCTCTCAGCATCGGCCCCGCGCTCCCAAAGAAGACTTCTGCAAGATACCAAAAGTTTGGCAGTACAGGACTGACGAGAAAGGACAGTTTGACCAAGGCACAGCTATACGGTACGCTGCTGAACTGAGTGGAGAAAGCGATTTTTATTTTATGCATGATGATGACGATGATAACGAGTCCTAACTTTCTGTACTGTTCTGTATCTCTCCCTGCAGCAAACACATACTTGGTGTGATGGGGTGTTCCGATGTTGTTTTATGTATCTTAGCCACGGCACGTTTCACGCAGTCTGCAACCTTTTTCTCTATTGTACGTCAGTGTATTTATCGACCTGAGACATGCTAGTCAGTATGTTTTTGTTTAAGTGATGGCGATATTTAGAGGCACCAGGATAAAACCACATTCTCTCTACAACACAAAGATACTGTGCTATTCACTCTTTTTTTAAGTACTGTTAGTAAAACCAGCAAAAGATCATTAATTCTATATATACAAGTACTGAAAATGAAGTGTGTTTAATGAGATGACTTAATTCTGCATGTTTGCGAGAGGTTATCCATTAGGTTTAGGCAGGCTGCGCTGACTGCAAACTGTTAAAACAATTTACTTTCACTTACACAAATGCATGTTGTGTAATGCATATGAATAAGGTGGAAAAAACATTTCCAGCTAAACTGTTTTTCAAAGAGACATTATCTGTAGGCAACCCTTACCAGAAGGAAATATTCTCCAACTGGCTAAATACGAGATTTAAATAATATATATTTATTTCAAGGCCATATGATATTTCATAGCAAGATTTATATAGCTAATAGAGTAATCCCACACTTCTTAATAAGAACCCTAAATTGCCTACATTTGTCAGCTATAAAATATACAAATATATATTTAAATAATATACTTATTATGAGAGGAAATACACAAATATAACCAGGTACCCATTCAGTAAAACCTATTACACAGACATACAGTATTGTGCAAAAGTCTCCAGCCACCTTTTTTTTATGTTTTGTCTCTTTCTTGTTATTTTTTTAAATGTTGTTTTGAGTAATAGTTTTCTAGGTTTTCTGAAGGTCTTCCAAAGTTTTTCTTTGGACATTTAGTTGCTTTTTTCATTCATTTTCAGTCCAGTTATTTTACCTCACCGAATCATTCAATGATAATAAAAAAGCATCTCACAAAAGGGATGAAGCAGTGTTGTGTCGACACATAACAGACAACTTAGCACAGAACCAAAATTATATTTTCAGGCACTCTGTTACTAGAGGCCTGTTGCAAAAAACAGATCATTTGTTCCCATTTTTTCAGGTAAGTCTATGAAGAATGCTAACGATAACACAGTCTGACAGATTAAAAAAAAATAGTATTTTGGCATCAACAAGATGATTCCCATTGACAGCAATTGAACCAAGTTCAAAAAAAAAAAAATCCAAAGACCTTACATGGGACCTGGGAGATGCATCTGGGCTTTACGTTGACCCATCCACCGGAAACTGACGCCTAATCAGAAATGGTGTCAGTAGAAGGGTGGCTCATGTCTTTTGCACAGTACTATAACTCAAACAAAGCAGCAGGTATAAGTCATTCATTTTACCCAACTGGAAATTTTTCATATATTTGTACAAAAATAAGATGACATCAGCAGTCATACTGCACAGCGGTTACCGTAAAAACCAAGACACTTGTGAAATTGCCTTAATCCTGTCCAGTGGACAGAAAGGTCTCCTTTACAGCATCTAACAACTGTGTACATACTGTATATCTGCTGTATTGTCACTGTATGTATGCACTACTGTTACAGCGTATGCTCTTCCTGTCAGATAATATATATACATACACAGGTTTTAGGAGACAGATTAAGTCACGTTTTTCGATGTTGATCATCACTGGATTTTGCTGACATGAAATTCTGTAAAATTTCTACTGATGTGCCAACTTTTAACACTTTTGGCACTATATACACAAAAGCAAAACGACACTGTTGGTTCTACTACTTTAAGGGGAGAGTTAATTGGAAAATTGTCCAGGCCTTGGTGGAAGTTCTGCAACGTATGCACAAGAAAAGGTGGATGGGTAAGTGCACTGAAAAGGTAGTAAAGAGTGACTAAACACAAACATGTACAGTTAGTGTGTTGTTTTCAACCAGCATGGTCAGTAAACACTGTGAAATGGACAAAGCTTGTGTATATACAGACATAGAAAGTGTCAAAGACCTTATTATAAAATACTGCCTTATGTTAAATGAACAACTGCAGAGAGATTGTCCTGCTGCCCAACAATCATACTACCATTTGCTATTCCAGTATAGAAGAGTACAAAATGACAATGTTCCAACATCTATGCACGCCAGGATTTCTTGCTTTCTGTGTAGCTCTGCAGAGCCGAGAGGAACAGCGCTAGAGAGAAGGTAATTTACGGAAGCTCAACTTTGCCCTCAAATCATCACTGACAGATTTTATTTTCAAAAGCTATGCGTCTCTCACTCCCGCACATCTGAGAACCGGCTTAAGGCTGTTTGAAATATTCTGACAATGTCATATTTGTGAAGCTAAAACTGCACCATACAGGTCACTGACATTTTTTTTACTCTTATTTGGTAGACTGTTTAGGTCTTAGCAGTGAAAAAGGTTTGAAATTACATTTAACCACTGTGCAGAGGAAATGAGAATATAAATGGTATTTTTGTTGTGGGCGCAATGTAGAAAAGGAGATACTTCATACACAGTTGTTACAATATGAATATTTTTATCTAGTTTAAGTTGTTGTTATATTTATAGAATGTTTTGACCTTGAATGACGAGGCTGAAGTGGTTCTGTCCTGTCCTACCTCCAGCCCTGTTCCAGGAATAACAGGCCTGTTGTTTAAATGTCACGTTTGTCTGTCTGATGCATGGTTCTATATTTTTTGCTGTATGTTTATTTACTTAATAAAGATGTGTGTTGGGAAATTGATTGCAAATTTCAAGGCATATTATTTTAGGTAATTTATTCTACCACCATCTGGTGGTTCACAGTAGGGGACCGTTTTAAATTTTTATAACAAATCCTTAACCGGCTTAATTATCACATTTAGTTGCAGAACCGCTTTTAGCACCAATAAGTTGAAATAACAGTTTTCTGTGCAACTTTATCAGTCTCTCACTTCATTGTTAGGGACTGATATATTAATACTGCTTCCGCTCTTTAAGGTCTGCAGGCTTTTATTTAAGGACAGCTCTCTTAAGGTGCCACTGCAGCCTTTCAATCTTTCAATCTTTGACTGGGCCATTGCAACACCTTGCTTCTTTTCTTTTTCAGCCATTCTGGTGCTGGTATGCTTGGGATCATTGTTGCATGGCCTGTATGTCATCTGACAAAGATGGCTTCTTGTTTGACTCTAGAATACTGGTCGACTCATTGACTGTAAGCTCCTCAGGTCCAGTGGCTGCAAACGAGCCCAAATCATTACGCCTCCACCACCATGCTGATATGCTTTCTTTAGTTTTCACCAAACATGGCACTCTGCATTATAGCCAAACTTCTCCACTTTGGTCCCATCTTTATAGAGAGCATTGTGCCAGACGTCATGCTGCCACATCACTTTTAGTAGTAGCTCTTGGGCTTTTACTGAGGTGGTCGCACTTCCTGATCATTAACTCATCTGATTAACAGCACCTGGCTTCTACTTTATTTCCTATGGAAGTAGTAAGGGAACAGTATGTTTTTCCACAGGATGGCATTCTTTCTTCTTATTCTTACGGTGGACTATGTATGTAGATGCAGATTAATTAAAAAAAAACTGCTTTAAAAATCATTTAGGGGCCTTTTAAAGACAACTACAATGATGCTTTCTGTATCATTAACTGAGGTAAAATAAGCATAGGCGTTACAAAACAGGGGAAACTATTTACACATTAGATTTTTCCCTATAAACAAGGATAAGGATGTTTCTACTATATATACTGAATAAAGATCACAAGCTTCTGCATTTCAATGCTATGCTGTTGACTGGCAGGACTCTGGGAGAACTTGGCAATGCTTTGACAGATGATGGCATGTTTTTTTAGTTCTCTGGTTGTCTTTCTTTGATGCAGTGTGAAAGGAAATGTCATATCAGAGCCAGAGAGAAGAAAAGGGAATAAGAAAAGTGATGTGTATGCAGAATGTGGAATGAAAAACACTTCTGATTAAAAACCACCCAGAGAGATGTTTTTATTTTTATTTTGACAAAACCTTAAAGACTACGGTGATGATGAAATCCCCTGCTGTATTTGGGGTGAAAGGTAGGACTATAAAAGCACTGGGGTGTTTTTGTGGGCATATGTGCAGCTAGACTACTTTTCCACCGCCTACCACTTTAGATAAAACCCATAACAATAGTTCACTCTTTGAACTCTTAACTGTAAAGAAGCTTCCTTTGATCTCATACAGCGTAACTTCAACTGTTTTCATTTCAACCACCAAGATTACAGGATGTGAACAGATGGGACAAATATGAATAAAACTCTTAAAGTGAGATGACACCATAGCGACTGAAATCGAGTTAGTTTTTTTTTATTATGATGTGAAAGCTTTGCAAGATAGTCAGTGTAAAAAAATGTTTTCCAAAGGAATCAGTAGATAGTAGATTTGCTGACTTTCAGCATTTTTTGCCAAGTTCTTCTTATCTTTTGCCAAGAGATTATGAAAGCTATAGTCTTGAAGATAAATGTGCACATGACGTTTCTGTTTAATACAGTCTTCCATCTCATGGCCAACCTGCTACGTTTTAAGTTTATAATCTCTTTGTTCATAGTTGGTTGTCAGTGCCAGACCTTGATCTCACCGCCCCAGTCACAAGTAGCCACAGTCGTAGGTAAGACGGGATGCTGAGACACACAAAGGCAGGGCTGGCTATGGGCACGGAGGGTGTGAAGCATATGAGCTGTGTGATAATCATAGAAGTGAGCGGAGCCAGTGGAGCTCCCTGAGGCCAGGATAGTTCCATCCAGAGAAAAGCCACACTTTATTGCATATCCCTCTACCTAGAACAAAAAACATGTTACAATCCATTTATAGCGGCTCAGAGGAGATTTTAGAGAACTAATCAGAATTTTGTTGGCTCAACCTTCAGAACAAAAAGCAATTGTTACAGGGAAATCAAAGAACAGCTCTCATCCTCCTTTACCTGCATACATTTAATGTCACAAATAACTGGGGAAAGTCCCAGGGGAGGACAAATCTACAGACAGAGTGCAGGCCCCCTGATGGTGTCTGCATACTGTTGATTTATACCTACAAACACTGCAGAGGCAACTCTTGATTTGTGTAGACAGTTTAAGTGTAGTCTTGACTGACAAAGGATTACAGAAGGAAGCAGAATAACACTCTAATCTTTTAATGTTTAAGTTGGGCTCATCTTCTTACTTAGTGATTTTCTTGTTTAAATTTTGAATGAAATGCAAGTCTGTATCCACACCAACCCACTTTAGGTCGTCACTTTGCATAAAGAACCCCCAGAAATATAAATCTCATCAGGTGCCGTGGAATAAACAGAAAGCATTCGCAGCGCTAGATGTGTTCCACAGTTTTTCATGTTAAACCCTTGTTGAAATGCGACGAACAATAATACCCCACAGTAACAATCAATTGACTTTACCATAGGTGGACTCCAGTGAAGTTGTAGAAAAATCTGACAGATAATCAGTGGACACGGAACCAACCTGAGCTCAATTTTTGTTTTCATGTACATGTTATATTTTTATTTTTTTTAAATATGCAATAATTTCAAGCAATTATTTTTCACTTTGACATTATGGGGTAATTGTAGAAATTTGAGGTGAATATGAATTTAATCCAATCTGGAAATAGGCTAAATGTTGAAGAACTAAAGCACTGTAAATACTTTAAAACTTATTGGAAGCACCATATTTCGCTTTTATGCATTACCGATCCCTGCTAAGTTGCCTTAGTTTTCAGTCATTATACTTTATTTAGCTTGAGTCCCTACTTCTAGTTTATTGTCCTTCCTTCCTTTGTCCTATCTTTCTTTATTTATGCTTATGTCCTACAGTGTTCCCTTGTTTAGTTTGAATCCTGTATTCATGTTCAGCAGGCATTTTAGGGCTGTTGATTTGCTGCGATAGCTGCGTTTCTTTCGTGTCACTTTTTGGACTTCACTTCCACTCTGTCCGATTGGCTTGATTACTTTCACCTGTCTCTCATTTCCCTCCTCTTTCCAATCCCCAAATAGTCCTTGTTCTATAAATAGTCCTGTCTCTGCCCCGTGTTTTTGTGAGATCCTGCTGTTGTTTTCTGCATTGGATGATTCCTAGACCCCTGCTTTGTGTATTTTTTTTGGTCAATTTTGGACTTTGTGTTATAAGCTGAATAAAAGCTCATTACTTCTTCATCTAAACTTTACTGTAATACAACTGGTTATTTCTTATGGCACAAAGCCCAGACTCAAGTGTGCATATTTTTACATAACAAGTGGTTTTAAATTATAGACTGCACCTGTGGAAAATAATGGGTTACTACAGTTCATGCTCATTGTATTAAACTTCTTGTTAGAGTATGTAATGCTTCTGTTAAGACTGCATTAAAACCTTGTCATCAATGATGTAGTAGCACAACTGGCTCACAATCCATCAAAATTCACAGGCTATTGGCTGTAAAACAACAAACGTGAGCTTAACCTTGTGCACCATTTGGGTGAAGACCCATTAAGTGATCATTGTGTCCTACCAATATGGTAGGAGGAGCAGAAAAATTATAGATATGTCTGTGTTTTAGTCATCATAGCAACTAATTAGCAACTGGCTAATTACCAATGCTTTCAGTAATATAATCACAATAACGCAAAGGTTATTATAAGGTAATTATAAGAAACATCTGTCTTATTGGTCTTTTCTGCCACGTTGTTTCTTTTTTGTTGATTTTTAGCGCTGTACCAGAAAGAGAAAAGCAAAAATGGACCTGGAATGTGCGATACCCATTTGTTTCCTGTCAATTATTGTAAACAACAGTCCAAATGCCACACTAGCAGTGCTGCATTTTTCAGTGATATTTCAAATGTGCTGCCATATGCTGCTCCTGTTGCCTCCCTCAGTGGAACTGTTGTATTGTATTTGGTGGGTTTGTTTTTTTGGGAGGAAACACTGCTATGAATCTTGGTAAAGACAATGAAGCATGTAGGTTGCAATTAAAGCTGTGTGGGGTGGGATGTTGCTGAAGTTGTATTTCAGTGTGTGTGTGTGTGTGTGTGTGTCTGTGTACATCTGACTGCAGTGCTATTCAGTATGGATTACGCCTTCATAACCCCCAGTCGATACTGACCTTGTGTCCTTCGTACCGCCGCCTTTTGTTCATTCTATACGGCTGCTGGGAGGAGAACACTGCTATGTAGTTCCCATTGGTCTGGGCAACAAAGGAGTCTTCCAGCGGGTGGAGAGCCAGGCCCGGGCACGTGTAACGCTCCTGGTGGCCAAATGAGAAGAAGAATGAGAAGGGAAATTAATTCACTATTTGACCTTTTCTTGTTACTACTTATAGTGAAGTCAGCTCCATGTTAACTAGAGCTGGGCGATATGAGATTTTTTTCATATCACGATATGTTTTTTTCATTTCAGGCGATAACGATATCTATCACGATATAAGCCAAATAACTATATTTGTAAGATTTAAATGTGCCGTTGCTCACAAGTAAAATGTGAAATAATCAGCAGCTTGTTTTTAAATATTTATTTCCCATAATAAGTTCAACAGGGTAGATGTACTTAAGGAATATGAGACTTTTTCAGATAAATAAATTCAAATATTGCAAACTACACAAAAGGCAGCCGCTAAAGCGTTTAAGTTTCAAAATAGAACAAACAAAACAGACTAAACTGTCAATTCCACTTAGAAACAAAATATTAATTCTAAAAATAAATCTTAGTTTGTTTTACAGAAGAACAGACAAAACTGACTAACTTTTGTCAATATCAAATAAACTGAGAACTAAAAGGAAATTCTCAATCTCTCCTTGTTGTATAGCTGAGCTTTTCAAACAGTTTTAACAGTTACTTTAGTCTGACAAAAGCCGAATGACGAATTAGCGCTTCCAGTCAGAGACTGAGGCTACGTCCACACGTACACGGGTATTTTTGAAAACGGAGATTTTCCGTTTTCGTTTTAAAAAATAATCCCGTCCACACATAAAGGCAGAAATGAAGGAAAACGCTGCTATGAACATGCCAAAGCAGCAGGTGGCGCTAGATTCCTAACCGTGCAGAAATGTTGGCCAATCAGAAGTCTAGAAGCCTCGGTGGGAAAAAGTAAACAAAGCTGGGGCATAGAAGCAGAACCGAGTCGTATGTGTGGACGGACAGTAACTGTGTGTATATGTAAGCATTTAAACACTGCAGAGAGTAGAATTAACAGTAACAGTATTGTAGAAATTCATTTCACCGAAACAATAACGTGGCGCACAGTGTGACGCATGCACCAGTTTATTGTATTTCCAGACTTGCTTTCGGCACAATTTACAGTGCACGCTACTCTGTTTTTTGTCAGACTTGAAATAGCCGAAATACCTTCACACTACGGAACTTCTATGGCTCTTCCGTTCGACAATCTCTCCGGCATTGGAACCATCATCTGTTTTCTCTTCGGTCACGCTCGGTTGATTTTTCTAGTCGGCACACTCATTTCCTCCATTACGCGCTGGCTCCATTACCCGCTGGCTGCTTCCCAAACAAACACACGTGCGGCTTGGCACTTGTGCTGTACGTAACAAGTCACGCGACGTGACGCTGCGGCTGTGATTGGTTCGGCTCTGCGCTACTTAATTTGGATTGGCTGACCTTTTTTTTTTATTTTTTTTTTATTTTTATTTTAAGAGGACAAGAGCGGCGAGGTCTATCGCGATAGCTTAATTTCTCTATCGAGTAAAAGTTATATCGCGATACATATCGTTATCGTTCTATCGCCCAGCTCTAATGTTAACTAGTGTATTAATGATAAAAAAAAAAGCTTGTACAATGGTATAAAGGTTTATGATCAATCCACTATGTATATGTAGTAATATTTTTTATTTTGACCATCATTTTCAATCTATTCCGATGAGTAAAGAGAATATACACTCAAAACTGTTCAGAATTATCCTGTTATCCTGTATAAAAAAGCAGAAAGGTTATTAAACAATTATTAAACAATTTTTTTTAACTTAATTTAACTGTTAAAATAAAAATGAGTCTCTTAAGATTATAAATTTAATTTCATATACCAGCCAAACCTCATGTAATTAGACCTACTTTTTTTTCTTTATCACATACATAGATATCTTACATGGTAGATTTGGTTGGAGACTTTGGCTGTGGTCTCATAGTCCCAGGCAATGAGGGTGCGGTCTGCAGAGTCTCTGCTCACGCAGTCAGAGCTTGTTATAAAAGTCACACCGCCTCTCAGAAAGACTATGTCCAAGGTCTGCTGGATGCCGGCTTGGTAAACTTTCACCACCTGGTAACACACATACATATACACGGATGACCCGTAGAAGCACTCAGCCAAGAAGAGAAATAAACAGGGGAGAGGAACATCTAGACCTCTGTCATTAAGGGGGAAAGGCAAGATAACAGCTCCACGTGTCCTTGAGCTTTAAAGACTTGCTGTCAAATGATGACAGAGTGCCCAGCAATGGAGAACATATATGTTGTGGTTTCAATCTGCAATAAAGCACACCCTGAAGTATCAATTTATTGATGATTAATAAAATTTTTAAAAGGCTACACAGTGGATGGCTACCGGCTCCTCTGCACTGAGAATTTAACCTTTAACCCTTTACCTGCTGCTTAAAGCATCCTCTAACTTTATATTTGGCTATATATATATATATATATATATATATAATAGCATATGTGTATGAGCTAGATAGGGATATGAATTAATTAGCATTTGCTACTTTTTTTCCAATGTGATATATTATTTGGCACTTTTATGTTCAAAATAAAGATTTAATTGGCTGATTGAGTGGCCTGTAACATAATGTGGCAGATCAGTCTCACAAATCCTTTCTGCTTCTTGAATCCATTTGGATATCAGCAAAATTATGACATAGGTGGCTGACTTGAATTTTTTATCCAATATGGGTAATTTGATCCTGAATGGAACAGCTAACGGTTAAGAGTCACAGGCAGCCATAACCATACAGCCTTAACAACATATTTTCTAAGGATTGCTCTCTGTCCGCAACTCATACTAACACCTGCTAGCAGAAACATCTTCAGTGCATTAAGTCTAACCATGCAGGGGAACGATTCAGTTCGCCAAGTGAACATTCATGTGAGCATTCACATTCTGAAGAAGTGAATAGGATTATCATATAAAACAGTCCATTAAGCTTAATAGCAATATTAGGTTGCAGCTTCACAGGAATAATTTATGCAGCCAGGATTAAATTAAAATTTGCTTTGAACAATTAGTGATATAACCTGCATTCTCCCTATGCATGCTGAAGCATTATCTAGAGGGTCATTGCACAAAGTGAAATATAGACTCGTATGTTTGTACTCATGTGAAACCGAGCGTGTAGCAGCGTTGAACAAAGAGGATGTGTTTGAACTGTATTCATTTAGATTTCTGAAGGTAAAAAACCCCACAGAAAATTAAAATGATAAATCTACTGTAAGGAGGGTAATAAATTTGACCTTGCAGCTGCGAGAGTCCCACGCCTTGACTGCTGAACTGTAACCTCCACACAGGAAAACCTCCGGGTTGCTGGGATGCACGGCCGCACACATCACCTTAAACTCGTTGTCCACTTTCACTGTTGGCTGCCCTACAAAAGAAAAAAAGACTGATTTTAAAAAGACATGACAGAAATCTTGTGTTTGTGTATGTGTGTGTATGTTTACTATGAATACTTTACAACATCATGCTGCTAATTTGTGAATGCAGAAGTGTCAGGTTTGTCAAGATTGATTATAAACTACATTTCTTTAACTGAATTAATCATTATAGTTATTGTTATATTGTTATTTTTCTACTTTACTGTTCTTTACTGTGTCCACATTTATAAATGTCAAGATCAGCACTTCAACTAAAAACTGAAAATTGCTGAATTATTGCTTAATTGATTCATTATCATTAAAATGTCACAGACATAAAGATCCACTGATAAACTGAGAAGATGGCTGGACGATTAATCACTAATCATTAATCTGGTATCAAACGCACACATAAATAAAGGCTCAACAATAAATCTGAGTAAATACAGACTATTTACTTTCTGCTTGATTGTCCCAAAACAAGCAAAAAATAAAGAGACTATATGAATTAAGGTAAATGGCAGGAATTTTCTTTCTCAGCTGTCAAAGCCAAACTAAACACAGCCAGCATACATTTTAGCTGCATTACCCCACACATGCAACATTTCCAGATACTTCGCTTTGGTTTATTAATTGAGCACATTTTGAGGATCCAGTTTCAGTTCCATTGACACATGCATTACATTTGTGAGTATTAAACTCTGCGTGTAATGTAGGGCCAGGGGAATGATGGAAGAGTAAAGGAAAGAAAAGATTTCCAGGCAGGGAAAAGTTTAATACGAACTCACACAAGAGCGTGGAGAGTGTGTTCCCTAATTCTCCTTAACCAAGAATCTTCCTGTTGCCACTGCTTAACAAAAATGTGTTATGGTCAGAACTGCCCAATTATGATAATGCATTTTTCAGAAAATGTTTTCGATTTCTGTTACTTTATAATGGGATCCTAAAGATTTCAGTTGCTTTCATGATATAAATGTAACACACAGATTTAGGAAAAATAAATGACAACTACAATCAAAGACTGATTAAAGAAACATTCTAAATAAATGAGAATAAATGCAGAAATTGAAGATGATAAGCTTGGTGGTTGTGGAAATCCTATAAGCCTTCCTCATCACTTCACACTGTCAAAAATTACACATGCTATGTATGTACTTTAATTTTAGATATGCTTGCTGCCACATGTAAATACTTGTACAGATGTGTAGAGTTCATATATTTTAAAATTAAAGATGGACTAAGCCAACAAGATGTCCCCCATTGATTAGTGGATTCCTGGTTTGAAGGCTCCAGATCTGGTTTTTGCATTGAAACCTAGTGTCACGAGCAGGAGGGACGATCTGGCTAAGAAACCGAGGACGCTTCACACTCAAACAGGAGCCTTTTTTCAATCACAGGGTAGGCATGCCTGAATTATACCCTGCTCTATAGTTTACTCTGAATTAGAACCTAACTTACAACATGAACATCATGTTGCATTAAGCAAGACTTAAAATTACCAATTGAGACCATAAACTCGAGTTTTTTACTAAGATCATAAATCTAGTGAGCAGTGGGATCATTTTCTCACAAACTTCCATAAAGTCAGATTACTTCTGTTAACTACTCACCATTAGAAAGAATCCACCTTCAAGGCATTTCTATATTGTTTACATCTAGACATGGAGACTTAGTCTGTCTTTTATATACAGCCTGTTTATAAAGAAAGTTGTTTACAGTGTATCCTTCCGCTGTGTCTAGACTCTGTCCATGTGACCTGAATATTGTGAATGTAGCATCATTTCTGTCTGCTGAAGAGCAGTGCTAATCCTCAGGATAGCACACTTTTCTGTTGTTGTAAATATCAAATGTAAATCAGTGTGCTGTACCATGCAAGCTGTTTATTTCTTGCAACCTGCACTCTTGTGTTCAGTACAAAATCTTGCTAGTTTCTACCGATCGAAAATATTGCAAAAGTGCACAACTTTCCTAAGTGATAGTTTTATCTCTCTATTTCCAGACAGCGGCATTGTACACATGAGTTTCTGAGAGGATTTAAGCATCACTCGAGACAAAAAGATAAAACTGACAAAGATGTGATGTGGAGAAAAGAAACCAGAGTATAAAGTACTGTTTTGGCTAGAGGCTGCTTTATCTCAGTCAATTAAAATATGTCATACTTAAACATAAAACAAAAACACCGAAGGGCTAAAATATAATTAAGCCTGACAGGGTGCAACCAAAAATTAGTTTCCTGGGAAAACGATGAAACAAGACTATGAGCCAGCAACTCTGTCAAAGGCTATGCAAAGTGGAGCACCTCAGGGCTCAATGGCTTCTCATTAATTCATCGAACAAACAACAAAGGCCACATCTAAAACAGTCTTAGACAGTTAGCCCACAACAAAAACATACTTCATTATAGACTTGTTCCACAATATTCCCACCAAGACTTTTTAGAAGTGGGGAATGATTCACAGCTAATAAACTGCACCAAAAATGGACCTTCTCTCCTTTTAATGGGGGACTAGTTCACTCACTCACGACTGCACTGGTCTGATCCAAAGTTTTAACAGGCAGTTTCATCAGGCTCATACTTCCTGCTTAATTGGCTTACCAACAGCGATATTCAGAAGATCTGTCATTGAGATTTAAACTCGTGTTTAGCAAGACAATGAGAAAACATTCTCCTCATAATAAATAGGGCCTCATCATGTTTTAATTAAGCAAGATTAATTAGCTGGCATGCGAGAGGAGATACGGGAGGACAGCAGTGATCTGTCCCTCCCTCACAATAGTTTATTCTGTTGAAAGAACTGTGATTGTGCTGTAGTGCTGACAAACAGTGGATGACTTGGAGCAGAGGACATTAGGGATGACTGGGATAGCAGGGATGAGCCCTTCAGAGCAGAGAGTAGCAGCGAGTCTGCCTCATTATGGGTGCTGTCTTTGCACTTGTGCAGAGGTTAGGAAACACATTATTCAGTCTGACACGCCACATCCGAAAAAATGCTTTGGATGTAGACTTAATAAGCGGTATTTTTGACTGTTTTATTTTTATATTTTTCATTTCAACCATGCCCTCGGACTTGATAGAAAAGGTAGCAAAATCCTTAAATAACTGTGCATGATTTATTAATTTAATCCTAATTTTAAAAAATTAATGTACTTCCTTCAACACTGCATAGTAGCTTTCATTAACCAAGACGGCTTTAAGCTAAAGTGAGCCACTGCTTAGTTAATCATGTGACGTAGTACTGGAAGTAATGACAAAAACAAAACTTAAACTTAGTGTTTAAATGAAAGTAGGAAAAACTGTTCTCACAAATTTCATGTCATAGCTGACATACTATGCTTACTCTCTGCACCACCTTTTTTCTACCTACACTGCTTTTCAGGTCAAAATAATCCTTATTTTTCTTAATGGGCCTTGAAACAGCTTGAAACAATCTTTCCCTTGATATTTTAACTCTGGATATGTTTCTGTGATCTTGTTTTTAATTAATACTATGTCTTTGCTTTATCCTCTCTTTTTTTAGCTGTCAGGTTATGTTGGTGACAAGTTAAATGACTAAACGCTGTAGGTCAAAGCAAATCATCTCGAATAGCAGGAAAGAAGCTCAATAATAGAAAGAAATGAAGTATTGAGCAACTGCAAAATACTGCACACTGAATTGCTGGGAATGCTCCCCTCTCCGTGTTGGCTGCTTTTGAATGCCATCACCACGGAAGCTCATACAAAGCCTCCAAGTCCTTCACTTTTCTTGACTAGTGCATGGGCGTTAATGTAAGTTAGAAATGCTGTGATGTGGGCTTTATCCTTTGTCTTTTGAAGGAAAGCTCTTTTGTTTTATTTTCTTTGGGGGGTGACTATATAAAGCCTGTGTTGACCTAGTAGGTTGCTACTCTAAAATGAAGCTTTCAAAGTAGGTCAAAATACTGGTGGCATTTAGAGGAAATAATATTGCGGGTGTGTGCTTTTGCATTCGTTGCCTCTTGGTGTGCAACACTTGAGGCTCCTGTGATTATACAGTAACATGGTGGTGGTTAATTCTTGGTACGTGCAAATGAAGTCTAATGAACTGAATATGTTGAAGAAAATATTCCAGTGGAATAAAAATGTGTGAAAGAATGCTGAAAGATCTTTTTTTATACTGTAATATTGCAAAAGCCTCTCTATTTATTTATATATGATGAAAGAAATAAGAGCACTGACTACAAAATCTGACTTTTTGTTAACCAGTGTGCAAGTTACTACTTCTTCCCTTTCTTTCCTTATTTATGAAAATGTGCATTTATTCATTGATCTAACTTTTTCAAATGTACCCAGCATGACAGTGTGGGTTACATGGATTGCATGGCCGGAGAAGAAATTTCAGCATCTAAGCTGTGTTTTGAAAACCAGAAAGATTTTCTGTTGCATGACCCCCAGACTCCAATCCCCAGTGTGACTCAATAATTTAGTTTTGCACTATTGGCCTTGTAATTCAGTCTGGAACAAAAAAAAAAAAAAAGCCTGCCCGTGGCACTAATGTGAAACTCCATCTCACAACCAACCTATTACTGAAGCTTTCACCTGGGTTTATCAAATAAGGTAATGCAAACCTAAACTGAGCTGGAAGTCACTACAAGAGACAACTATTGTGTATTATTGCTTTTCTCTGATCTAATTTTGTTTCTTTTTTCTTGCATGAAATGACACATCAACTTGTGGGAGAATGTAAATAGGTGAACATATTTTACATCACCGTCATCAGACGATCAGCTTTTCTGAAGACGGTCGTTAGAGTGCGTACAAAAGCTGGGGCTTCACACTAATGCCATCCATACTTAATTAATTTATTCCACTATTCAGCCTCTCTGACTTTAAAAAGTCCTCTTTATCTTACATTCCTCTCCTCAGTTTCTCTTTTAGCATTATGCCACTTAACCTACTCGCCTTCCCTATATCGTTTTCACCCCAAGCTATTGCTATTCAGCTGTGACAGCTTCCCTTGGACCGCTGGGAGTGGGTATAAGGTTCTACAAATTAAACTGGACACAGAAAAAACTGCAAAGGTTTGCAAGGAAAAATGGGTCCACATACTATTCTGAACACACAGGCATAGGAAATTACTTTTCTTTGCAAACATAATGATTAGTGCAGCACTGAGGGTAGATATGCAGTGGTGAAATGATGAGTCAGATGTCCATGAAGACTCTCGCTGTTTATTCAAGGACGAGTATACCTCTGCAAAGAGAGCTCAATTGAACACAAAAGCTCCAAATGCTTTTCCTGTTACAGCTAAGAGGATCTGCATTACCGTGAAGAGCATAAAGATCACATTTATCATGATTAGAGTCTGCCATCACAAACACTCAAGCTTTCTGAGTATCCCATCATCCAGTCTAGTATTGATATACAGGGAGTGCAGAATTATTAGGCAAATGAGTATTTTGTCCACATCATCCTCTTCATGCATGTTGTCTTACTCCAAGCTGTATAGGCTCGAAAGCCTACTACCAATTAAGCATATTAGGTGATGTGCATCTCTGTAATGAGAAGGGGTGTGGTCTAATGACATCAACACCCTATATCAGGTGTGCATAATTATTAGGCAACGTCCTTTCCTTTGGCAAAATGGGTCAAAAGAAGGACTTGACAGGCTCAGAAAAGTCAAAAATAGTGAGATATCTTGCAGAGGGATGCAGCAGTCTCAAAATTGCAAAGCTTCTGAAGCGTGATCATCGAACAATCAAGCGTTTCATTCAAAATAGTCAACAGGGTCGCAAGAAGCGTGTGGAAAAACCAAGGCGCAAAATAACTGCCCATGAACTGAGAAAAGTCAAGCGTGCAGCTGCCAAGATGCCACTTGCCACCAGTTTGGCCATATTTCAGAGCTGCAACATCACTGGAGTGCCCAAAAGCACAAGGTGTGCAATACTCAGAGACATGGCCAAGGTAAGAAAGGCTGAAAGACGACCACCACTGAACAAGACACACAAGCTGAAACGTCAAGACTGGGCCAAGAAATATCTCAAGACTGGTTTTTCTAAGGTTTTATGGACTGATGAAATGAGAGTGAGTCTTGATGGGCCAGATGGATGGGCCCGTGGCTGGATTGGTAAAGGGCAGAGAGCTCCAGTCCGACTCAGACGCCAGCAAGGTGGAGGTGGAGTACTGGTTTGGGCTGGTATCATCAAAGATGAGCTTGTGGGGCCTTTTCGGGTTGAGGATGGAGTCAAGCTCAACTCCCAGTCCTACTGCCAGTTTCTGGAAGACACCTTCTTCAAGCAGTGGTACAGGAAGAAGTCTGCATCCTTCAAGAAAAACATGATTTTCATGCAGGACAATGCTCCATCACACGCGTCCAAGTACTCCACAGCGTGGCTGGCAAGGAAAGGGTATAAAAGAAGAAAAACTAATGACATGGCCTCCTTGTTCACCTGATCTGAACCCCATTGAGAACCTGTGGTCCATCATCAAATGTGAGATTTACAAGGAGGGAAAACAGTACACCTCTCTGAACAGTGTCTGGGAGGCTGTGGTTGCTGCTGCACGCAATGTTGATGGTGAACAGATCAAAACACTGACAGAATCCATGGATGGCAGGCTTTTGAGTGTCCTTGCAAAGAAAGGTGGCTATATTGGTCGCTGATTTGTTTTTGTTTTGTTTTTGAATGTCAGAAATGTATATTTGTGAATGTGGAGATGTTATATTGGTTTCACTGGTAAAAATAAATAATTGAAATGGGTATATATTTGTTTTTTGTTAAGTTGCCTAATAATTATGCACAGTAATAGTCACCTGCACACACAGATATCCCCCTAAAATAGCTAAAACTAAAAACAAACTAAAAACTACTTCCAAAAACATTCAGCTTTGATATTAATGAGTTTTTTGGGTTCATTGAGAACATGGTTGTTGTTCAATAATAAATTATTCCTCAAAAATACAACTTGCCTAATAATTCTGCACTCCCTGTATAGGCTGCATGAATGGTAGAATAACTAAGCTAAAACCTCGGTGAGTTGTGAGTGCCATATATTTCAGAAAAGCATTTGATGTGAAGAGAACTCAAACCCCATGCATGTTGGAATCTGTTTAACATATTATGAGGGAAATTATGCATGTAGCTTATTCCATGTGCTCTTTTCACTGCCAGAATATGATTTGCTTTAAAGTGTTCGTGACTTGGTCTGAGCTCCACCACATCTGTAGTGCAGAAACTGGTCTGGAATTCCCAACTCCCACATTAATATTCAGCTAAATTGAATTTTTTTTCATCACACGCTGCAATAGAAATGCAGCCTTATTGCGCTCTCATGACCTTCATCCTTAAAATATCAATTTTAAGGATGAAGATCAATCAAGCTATTGGCTGCATATGACCAAAAGCATTTGTTTGTTTATGGTTTTGGTTAGAGACGATCCAGTATAAGGTCATGGTAGCTGCTCCTGTGGTGATGTATCCATTATTGATCCACTTCCTGGAGCTGTCTGTGTGTTTAATGGGCTGCCCAAGCTATTATCCGTAGGCTTTATTGACAGTATTGACAGACAAGCTTAGAGGGGAAGTGAAAACGGCAGCAAGTCATCATTGCCATGTGTTGACCCTAGGGATGCAGATGCCATGGGGGCTTCAAAGAAATTTTCTCTCTCGCTCTGTTCAGATACAAGGAATTTGAGAACATTCATGGTAACTATTCTTATTGCTCAATAAGCAGTCTTACTGTGGCAGACTGTATATATGACTTACTATCATCTTTACTGCCATGCTTGTATTGATAGATAAAAAGATAGACAGATAGACTTCTATTTTAGATTTTCATTTGAGGCATCTGCCTCCCACCTGAATGAAACAGTCTACAGGCATTCAATATACACTCACGTCTACTTTATTAGGTAAACTTTGCTGAACTGCATTAATTCTTCATGGCATAGATTGGGCAAGGTGCTGGAAACAGTCCTCAGGGATTTTGGATCATCCTGACAAGATAGTGTCAAACTGCTGACATATCCATGATGTGAATCTCCCATTCCACCACATAACAAAGGTGCTCTATAGGATTGAGATCAGGCGACCACGGAGGCTATTTGAGTACAATGACCTTGCAGTTACGCTCAAGAAAATAGTTTCCGATGATTTGAGCTTTGTGACATGGCACAATATCATTATCAGAAAATGGGTACACTGTGATCACAAGTACTCAGGCAGACTGTGGCACCTAACTGATGTTCAATTACTACAAAGTGGCTCAAAGTGCAAAAAAATCACAAAGCAGTTTGGCCATTCTCATCTGAACTCTGGCATCAACAAAGCATTTTCAACCTGCGGCTTACTGGTTATTTTCTTTTTGGATCATTCTCTGTAACCTGTAGAGATGGCTGTGTGGGAGAATCTCAGTAGATCAGCCATTTCTAAAATGCTCAGAGCAGCATGATGTTCAATTTAGATTTCAGCATGTCATCTTGCTGTTTACATGCTTAAATGCACTGCAATGTAATTTGCTGATTATGTATTTTGTTAAAGACCATTGAACAGGTATACCAGAGAATGTAGTGGCCAGAGAATGTAGTCCCACTGTAGATTTTTAGGCTGATTTGCAGGAAACTAACTAAAGTAAATGTATTATTCTTGCAAATTATTCACAACTTTGTTAGTAATATGTATCACTTCTACTATACCATAGCACTCAAGTCCGATGGATGCATCGCAACTTAAGGGTTAGTGTCTTGCCCAAGGCATGCAGATGGCGCAGCCAGGGATCGAACCACCAACCACCAATGTTCCAACTAGTAGATGCTAGTAAGTGCCTGGGCTACAGCCAAATTCTGTGTTCAAGTTCCAAATGTGTAACTTAATGAGCTGACATGAATTGAAGTGCCTAAATCCAAGTGGATTTTGGTACACCACAATAGTTATCAGCAGCACTAACCAACATGTAGTTGCATTTCTGAGGGTGTGCAGGTCAGGTTATGTTGTAGAGTTCAGAGGGGTTTGTGGTTATGACGTAGATTTCCCGCTAAAGCATAAATTGGGCATTAAAACAAAATACCTGCTATTTTATTTTGATATTAAAAGGGAAGAAAGCAGCATTTCTTGGCTGTGCTTGGAGACATCTTTGCAGAGACATTTGCTCGAGGAATTCAGATTTCAAAGGTTGTCCCTGAAATGAGTCACGACTATAGAGAGAGAGTCAGAGACAGAGAGAGAAGTACCTCTGCAATTCATACAATGAGCTCATAACAGATTCTGGAGCCTCAAGGCAATTTAAATTTACTCCACACATAAATTTCTACACTGACTTTAAATCAGAGTTTGAGAAACAATAAATGTGCATGAAGTGAAATTGCACAGGCGTTTTGTTGTCCCACAACATCAGCAACGTGGTTGGAGAAAAATATCTAATCAAACAAAGGTTCACACTTCAAGCCAATTAAGTAAATGTGATATACACACCACAGTCGTTCTGCCTGTGTATGGGAACATCCAAAATTATATCTCGTGTTGAGTTTGGTTCAGGGGAAAAATCACAGTGATATACTTGAAAAAGTAAAGCCAGTGGTTTGTTATTTGACATTTGGTTCTTCAGAACTACAGAAAGAAATGCTGCTGCTGCTCACCCGTCTCCACATCAGTGATCACAGTCGTGTTGTCAAATGAGCCAGTGAGAAAGTGTCGCCCGCAGGGGGTCCAACAGGCGTTGCGCACAGCTCCCGAATGGCAGGTGTAAACCCTGAGGCATCGCCCGCTCTCTGCTGCATCCCACACCTGCCAGACATGGGCACATCAATTCACGCCAAACTCACAAATTTATCCAGACTGCAGTCTTTTTTGTTGTTTTTTCACTGACTGTGCACAAGATTAAGACATTCCAGGAATAAAGACTCAAAGGCCAAGAACTGACTGCATGAATTTCTAAGAGTTCAAAATCCATAATCAGTAGGTTGTGCTTGGTCTTAAGGGGTTGTTTTAAATGATCACATATATACAGATACACAAAAGAACCCTGGATCTTTTACGCGATCTGATGACATGAAGAACAAGGAAATACATCAGAGGTTTTGGCATGCAGTGCTTTCCCTCCACATCAAGGAGATGGAAGCCTAGGTCATTGGATCAAATTGACATTCAAAGAAAAGTTTATACAAATATTCAGTTAACTTCCTGTCAATGTATCATTCTAGAGCGGTTTAGCTCAGTTATGAAATTCAAAACCAAGCTATGTATTATGTGACAATAAAATCTATTAGTTAAGTTTAATAGTAATAATAATGTGGAAGTCAAATACTTGAATGCCATCACTACCACGAAGGGGGAAATGTGCACATATACTGTAAAGCTATAAAAAAAACTATTGAATATCAAATAAGTCAAATGCTTTGGAAGTATCACTGCACTCTGGAAAAGGATATTCATACAGAAGACAACTTTATTTGTTTTCATTTTTTGGGCCCCCAAGTGAAGGTGAAAAATTTTATTACTGTTATTGAAAATGATAAAATAAGCCAAAAGTTGTTTTTTTACTTTTCTTTTTTATGTGTGTGTGTATATATATAACAAATATTAAATAAGTATGGAACTGTGAGCGCATAACTACAAATGGAAACATGGAATACATGTAGCATGGGTTTATGGTATATGTACATCAATGCTCAAGTGTTTCTTTTTTCTTTTTTAACTGACTGTACTTGTTTGACTTTTGTCTGAATTGGACGAAGCTTTAAAGCAGCTTGATGAAAATCAAAAGCAGCAGGTTTGGACAAATTTTACAAACCTAAAATATTCTGTGTGTGCCTGTGCTGTGTCCTTTGGAACTCAAACTCTTTTTCTGTGTGAAGTCTCCGCAAACCTGAGAAAGATTTAATATAGGCCACTTTCACCTCTTTTCCATTGTAATGAAATGAAATGATCAGCTGGAAAAACTAGGAAAAACATCCATAGAAATTGGGTCTGTCTGTAGGATTTTAAGGGAGAAACAGCCTTTCTAATGAATTAATCAAACTAATTACCTCTGAGTGGGCCTATAAATCAATTCCCACTGGGCTGTAATGGCTTTAATGCGTTGGTATTCTCAGAGTTTACTCTGATAAAAAACAGAGCAGGAGAGAAAAGCTGCCTCCTGTTTGTCATGGTGGTCATGACTACACACCGTGACACCTTGCGGGTTTGAAATACGATATCATGGTGAAAATGTGGCGTGTAAACAAAGGAGGTGGTAATTACCCACACTGCTCAAGTGATGTCTTCAGTCAAAGTGATGGCTTTCAAAAAGTTCACTTGGCAAAATCACTATTATAAAATGTCTTTCATAAAAGGTCCAGTAGGATTTTCTCCTAGACATGCTGAAAGAAAAAAGGTTCTCATTGAAGCCCAGCTTGAAATCCAGTGGGTGGTCTGGACTGGTGCCCACTGAGGTGATGAAGTATTTTTTGGGCTCCTAAGCACTGCCAGGGCCACAGAGGAAATTTTAAGATCTATGGAGCACTGCAGATCCCTTTGTGCTTCTCTCTGTGTTTCATTATTAAATACGACTCTTCTATGCAGCACATGAAACACAGTAAAAAGTAGTGTACCACAGCTCCCACAGGACACAAAGAAGACAGATGGACAGAGAAGAGTGACATCTGAATCCAGCAGACAGAAGTCTGACAAACAGAATGCTAGAGATGCCTCCAGGATGGGGGGGAAAAGTAGCAGAGAGAGAGAAAAACAGAGGTATGTTTTTAATTGAAATAAACTAAATATGGACATGATGCATCTGTTAGGAATTACTCCCATTCACTGTACAACACTATAAGCCTCTTCTCTGAATGATCTTCCACTTAAGGAAACACTGCCATCTGAAGGTAGCATGGAAATCTAAGAGAAAAGCAACTGATAACAATATAAACTGACCAAAAAGCTGAAGAGTATTAAACCAAACATACTTCTACATAACAAGTCTGACAAAGGGCCACAGCTTCAGCTCTGTGAATGACAACAGCGATGATATACAGCATAACAAAACAATTCATTGCACACAGTTGCATTAATCCAATACCGAGCGAGACTTGTGCATCACTGAAAACGAGTGCTTGTTTATTTGCATCCCCTTTAATTTCACCGGCCACTTAACAGACATGCAGAGCGGATCCCTGCAAATGACTCATTGGGGTAATCTGCTTCCTAAATGACTCTTGGTAATTAAAACTAAATTGGTATTCGTGTTATCAACATAAAACGGCTGCTTTACACCTGCCGTAGCCATGGTGACATCAGCTCCAAACCGGCTGGGATAATAATAATAATAATAGTCTGACAGACAGGACTGAACAACACAAGTCAGGAACCAAAAGCATGTCAGTGAAGGAACTTGAGTACAGAGAGGTGAATGTTAGGATTTCATTCATTATGTCCTTCCTCTGAATTAAACCAGACTAGTAAACAATAGCTGTGGTCAAAGTGCTGAAAGCCATAAAAGACTATAAAAGATAAATAATAATGTGCAATAAGAAAATAGAAACCGCATGAACAACGTGTCTTTTTCAACAGTTTTCCTGTTACTTTCAACACCAGGACACCCCAGGGAGCGTTACTGTTTCTCTGGCAGTTAACACTTCCCAAATAAAAAAAAGCAGGTTCTTCTAATCTGAAGTTGTCTGTAGACAAAATACACCATTTTTTGTTTGGCAGTATGTACTGTGCCCTGCTGTGATCTGCTACACCCCCGTCCCCTAATACACTTGCACTACTTTATAGGTTGATTTCATATACTTGTGTTTTGTGCTGTGTTGTGTGTTGTTGGGTGTGTTTTGTGAGCATACCAACAAATTCCTATTAATTGTGTTGTTAAAAGGTTTACAGTAAATTGGAACTTAATGTCACTCTGAGCTAACTTAAAATGAAATCTCAATATTATATCTTAAATACACATTTGATCATGTTGCCACTGATTGTGTAAACAGTGGTTTCACTTGCATTTCGAGTTGAATTTGCCAAAAAAAAAGACAACACACAGTAAACAAAGATACAGATTAATCACACTAATCAATTTTGTATAATTGTGATTACTTTTTTTTGTTTTTCTATATATGTCTTGATTAGATTTTTTTAATGTGATAATCGTAAAGTGGAACTCTGGAAAGGTTACAGCTCTAAACCGAATGATTACCAGATCAATCGTTGAACTCCTGACAACTACTTTCTTTACTGATCAATTGAAATCTTAAGTATAGAATATTCAATTAAATATGTAATAAGCGGTGAAATAATCAGTACCATCTTGTAGTTATCTCAAACTACAGATACTTTTACCAAATAAAAAACATTTCTTTGAAGATTGACTGATTCATAGATTTTTGCAGAACTTTGTGAAATTCAGACGATTTGATTTTATATGGAGCAGTGGAGCTCTGCACCATCACCACCACATCACACCAACTGCTTTGGAAAAGACCTGAATCTTAATCCATCAATCTGTATATTACAGAAGTGGTTACACAGGATACAGTTAGATAGCCACAGAATTACTATATTTGTATCAGTTGCATTGAAAAAATATAAAACATCTAAGTATAAAATAACCCTATTTTTAAATGGGAGTAATGGAAGCTCCGGTTTTGTTGCTATGCAAAATTGAATTTCCTATTATAATTTTTTTAAGTACAGATATCGACTTTTTTATTGATCATTCTTCTTTTCACTGAGTTTTTAAAATTATATTAAATGTAATGTAATTTAATTTAATATAATTCGAATATTTTTGGGAAAAAGATTTTTCTTCTCTACATAGAAAAATCAAATTACTATAAAAAAAATAATTATCCTGGAAGCACCTGAATTTGTCAACAAATCTAATATGATGAAATACTTATTTCATTTCATTGTCTGATGCTGAAATTCCACATTTCAAAATGCTGTCACAGTCCTCGACGATAAGTATGAGAACTTCTTCTATTTACTGGTTTCACAGAAAACGCCTGGTTAGACAGCCTGAGAGAAGAAGAGATAATCCATGCATACAAACAAACGGGTCTTCTCCTCCCTTCCTCTGCTAGTCTCCACCATCTGTTCCAAACAACCCTTTCCAGGTGCCAGAAGAGGTGGCTACCATACCGCTGCACTTGTAAGATTATGCAAATATAGTCATTCATATTTAAATCGTTAATTATTCAAAATCCTCACAGGATATTGGGGCAGTATTTGATTTTATGATGGGACAGACATATTTAGTCGATAGCAGGCAGTTAGCTGCATTGCTTGACCTTTACAACAGGGAAATGATGGAGTGTTTTCCTGGTGTGAACCAGAGAAAAGGAGAGGGAGGTAGAATACAAACAGTGAGATAAATCGGGAAGGAGAGACAGGGCCCATGGGCCCTGACATATATTCAACACACAGTGACAGATATGATTCTAAAGAAAGTGGTACATTGTATATTTATAAATTGAGGCAGCAGGACAGACACTGTATCTCTTCCAATTACATTACATGTCAGGTAAGCAAGTATCGTCTTAGCGCTCGCAGCTTCAGCTTGCATGCTGGGTAAGTTCTGCTGTAGAGGTATGGACACAGTACCCTCGTGGCAGATTAAACAACTGTTTTTGGATGAGTGATATATATCCACATGAAAGCTGAAACCTGTCAACATAGCATTTTTCTCCACTGGGCCAACAGACCAGCAGATCAGACTTTTTATGGTGCCCACAAACAAAAGCCAATTATTGATTCACTTATATACTGCTAGCTGAATGTATAAGCATATCGCATAATGTATTAGTAGATTTGTGTCTTCAGATTATAAATTCATATCAGAAAAAAATATATAACCAAAGCCTGAATTAGCACTTGCATGCCGCAGGTTTTGTTGCTTCAAAGAGAGATGGTGGATGGCTGCCACTGCTCCCCTGACAAATTTAAATATCAGTTTATCTGCATAAATTTTAGCTTCTTCTTAATGCAGCTGTGGTTAGGAGCAAGTCACCTTTCTCACATGTAAGCTATCTGCACAGATTGTGATCTTTACTGCCTCTTTAATGTGATCATATTGATGGTAAGAAAAAAACGCTCGTCAGTGAGGGTCCATTTCAGCCAGTTCACAGGTAAATCAATTGGTGGAAACAACATTACTGGTCCAAATGTGTCAGCAGCTAGCCAATCAACTTGACCGACATACTTTTTTAATGGCCCCAGGCTGCAGGGTTATTTGTTATGTTGAACCCTGCATAGTTTCTACGTTTCAATGTTTATGAAGCAGTTAGCTATAACTGGACCTGGAGCATCCCAAGAGTAAATAGCATATTTTATTCTATTTCTACTGAAATTCTATTCTGTTACAGAAAGATAAGTGGGGAAATATAATGATTAATTTAATTGTATGAGACAGTTTAAATAAAAGAAAACAACACATCAGGTCTACATTATTTAAAGCATAGCACAACTGATGTATTTCCACAGCTTCACTATTGTACATCATTTATAAAACAAATGTAGCTTTCTTTACCTTGAAAGTCTTGTCTATGGAGGCAGACAGCAACAGATGGCTGACATGGGGCAAAGGACACCACTGCACTGTGTTGACTGGGCCCTGGTGGCCTCCCAGGCTCATCAGAAGCCTCCTGGGTATCCCTGTCATGCTGGGCGTTTGAGCAAGATATGGCTTCAGTCTTGCTGACACATCTGAGAGAATCTGACTTTCTCTGGCCTGATTCCCTAGGACTTGCTCTGCTGGGTGCTTTAGCTCCACTCCTTCTGAAGTGGCAAGTCTCTTCCTCTTAGGGATATATGGTCTGACACCAGATGGGACAGTTTGCTGTCTTTTTGCCAAGTTTGCAGCATTGCCTAAACTTTGTGGCATGCATGGAAGAGCCTGTGGGGATGCCATCTCCCTCTGACTATCAGGCAAATTCAAAGATGTTTCAGTATTTCTAAAATCTGCTGCACCTCCACATCTTCTTTTCGATTTAGTAAAGCTCTGTGGCTGGGAGTGAGGATGGAGTGAAGACCTGCTTGTTTCTGCCATATTTTGATGATATTCCCACACTGTCTGGTCAGACACAAATCTTCCAGGGTAAGGTATAACCTTGACAAAATTAGTGTCTTGGTTTTCTTCTGTTTGAGCAGAATCTGTTGCTCCTTCTACTCTCTGATCCAGCGAGTCATCCTCTGACTCTGAATCTTCATAGTCCACTAATGAAGACATCTTCACATGAAAATCTGAAAACAGAGAGGCATGAGTTGTTTCATTAGAGGCCCGACGGTGACATCTAGTGGCTACATGTACTCCTGCAACTAAAGGTAGTAAACATGCTTGTCACTCTTTAAAGGTTTAAACCTGCAGCTTTTGGTTTTAAAATAATTTAACCTGGAATTTTAACAACAAATCTTAACATTTGTTTTGCTTTATCGACTATTTCTAAAATAATACCCCAGAGACCAGCTAAAGATACTAGGGGTAAACTATTCATGTAAACACGTTGCTGACCATTTTATTAATAACAAAAACGGACATGAAGCGATGTTTTGGGAGATTCCGAATCATATGCGATGCTTTTTTAAAAGCTAGCTGTTAGCATTACGTGTTAATTAACGGTGATTACACACTTGGATTGTCCAAAACAGAGACAGCAAAAGGCAGGTTTGTCAACTTCCCACCTTAGGATAGCGTACAGTTACGGTCACGGCCACGCATGTATAATTAGCATGAATGCTAATTGGAGGTATTTGACGTAAGAATTTTGGATTAATAACATCTCTATGACAAGTACTGGTCGTACCTTCCACCAAGTATAGCAAAAGTAGCTAACTATGGTCGTTTACCTCTATGTTTGAAAACTTAACAGAGACTATAAACACAGAAAGCTACCATTTAATTGTTGCTTATATTCTTAATTATTGTACCTGTACTCTGCAGAAATAATCACATTTTCCGGCACAGAGCATGAATACAGTCATGCTTTAGGTTCAGCATCCCGCAAAACAATTCGAGTAAATGTAGCATTTCAGCTTAAAAGTACTGTTACCGTTTGCCAATTGAAATAACACGCTCACTTAAATTAAAAGCTCTTATTTTGAAAAAGCCGGATCTGAAGCGACTCCCTCTGTCTTCCGACGTATTATATTTCTGTACATTTAGTTAAACTCATGGGTTTCGTAGGAAATCGAACTGAAAATTATATATCAAAATTTATATGTGTAATATTCACGTAAGCGAATTCCCAAAGTAGTACTTTTTTTCTGGTGTGTTAATTCGCCGCGGAACCAATGAATAAGGTCGTTTGCCTGGGAAGACTTTCACCCAAACACTACATCACACAGGCTGATGCAAGTTGAATGAGTGAGCTGTCAACTGCGTGTGAAGAATACTGACGGTATACTGACTTGTCACTATATTTAATCAGAAATATAATGAGCTGGATATATGATACATGACTATATAAATTATTAAACATGACAGCATGAGCTAAGTGTAGTTTGTGTTTAGTATAGGACGATTAGCTAGCACTACCAGCTCTGCTGTTATTTTCGCATATGGCAGTTAACTCAGGTGCTGTTTAAGTATATACACACATTCTGTAGAAGATAATTGGATTAGGTATAAAACTGATCCTTGTCAGAACATGTAACATTCCTTTATGACATGTATATTTGGATATGAACTATTTTTCACTTCATTTTTTGCTGTGAAGAAGATGACAGACTGTCAAGGCGATGGCGAAGGAACCATGAGTCCCATGGAGCTTTTCGAGAAACTGAATGCTCAAGGAGAGAAAGTCAGATCCTTGAAATCAGCTAAAGCAGAGAAAGTGAGTTTTTCGAGATTTACATTTCTATCACTGTGCAAATGCAAATTGTAATTTCAGATTCACAGAAGGGGTGAACAGATGATTTTCCTGAACACTGTTTTCTATCGTGACACACAGTGATCATCAACAACATTAAAGTTACTCGCCACTAGGGCTGCCACGATTAGTCGACTAGTCACTATCAAAACCGTCGACGACTGATTTAATAGTCTATGCGTCGTTTGAAGCTTTGTAAGATCACAAAAGACGCAGGAATAAGTAGTAGAATTTAAGAGTGTAATACCGGACTGAAACAGAAGATGGCAGCACTGCATGTACAAGGATGCCAGCTGCCGTTAAACCCCGAAGAAGAAGTAGCAGCTCTGTCCCAGAATTCATAGCCCAGCCCAGTTTCAAACAATGGCGGCAGCTAGTTAGTTTTAATATCAGTCTTATTATTCTTTCTGTGTCACAAAATAAACGTTTAACATATTTTCAGGCGAGAATGTAGCTGTGTAAACCTCAAATATCTGCTCAGTTTATCAAGACACCACATATTTTCAAAAGCGCTCCGACGTTTTCGGAGACGTCTGTTGCCCACTAGCTCGATAGCTAGCCGGGGGCTAGGCTCACTAGAGCCCATGAGAGCACCGGACTCCCGGCAAATCGTTTTCAAACCCACCGCCGTCTTTCGCTACTCGGGTTAAACATATATAAGTCACTTAGATAACTTACAAATGTTATTGTTTGGCTTTTTTTTTAGTATTTTATTTGTTCCTGAGTAAATTGGTTTGGCTGAGATTAAAGTTATAGTTTTTACACAGCTGAATAAACGTCAAGCAGACAACTGAGCATGAGATGCTCGAGAATATACTCCGGTGTCCTGTTATATTTTAGATAGCAAGGAGTTTATTAAACTTCACCGAAACAATCTGCAAATTTCATTAACATTTAATAAACTATCATCTTGTCTTTATTTTTAGTTAGCACGTACCTTACACACTTCAAGCTGTAAGCTAATGATAGTTATATAAGAGCAGATGCATGCTGGTGCAATGAACTGTACGTTTTACGTCCAATGGATGCATGATCTAATTAGTCGACTAATTGCAAAAATAATCGGTGACTAGTCGACTATCAAAATAATAATTTGTGGCAGCCCTACTCGCCACACTGGTCATCATTGATCATTGTATTACTATGAAAATTTTGACTGGTATTCATGTGGAATGGATGTTACTTTGACATGTGCCACCGTTACACCACCATGGCAATGGCACTATTTGACCACTCCAATGAGCATTGAGGGTCCATTCAAAAATATTATGATAGACTGCACATTAAATCCTCAGAGGTCTGGTGTCCATGCCTGTTTTGGCAGCAAAGGGAGGACCTCCTCCTGATGGGTGTATTGTAATTACAAGTACTGTAATTCTGACATTGCTCCTCATTTGCTAACAGTGGATATGTACAAATTTGTGCATAAATCATGCATATGAATGAACATTTCACAAACAAATTGGTGACATATCAATATTTTTATACCTGAAGTCGTCCACACTTACAGAAGAAATTAGAAGTCCCACTCACTTCACGAACACACAAATGGAAACCTGGTCTTTAAAATGACTACTGCCACCAATAATAATAATCATACTAAATAATAATAATAATGTCTTGTTATTATTAATATTATTGTTGTTAGTGTTGTTGCCTGTCGACCATTGTTTACAGTTTTCCAAAGCAACATGAGCCACACAATACACAGAATTATTATTGCATTTTTTTTAATTCCATGTAAAGAAAACTATAGTTATGGAAAGCTGTAGGCTTTAACCTTTTAAACATCCATCCATCCATCCATCCATCCATCTTCATCCGCTTTGTCCGGGGCCGGGTCGCGGGGGCAGCAGCCTAAGCAAAGAGGCCCAGACCTCCCTCTCCCCAGCCACCTCCTCCAGCTTATCCGGGGGAATACCAAGGCGTTCCCAGACCAGCCGAGAGATATAATCTCTCCAGCGTGTCCTGGGTCTGCCCCGGGGCCTCCTCCCGGTGGGACATGCCTGGAACACCTCACCCAGGAGGCGCCCAGGGGGCATCCTTGTCAGATGCCCGAACCACCTCAGCTGGCTCCTTTCGATGTGGAGCAGCAGCTGCTCTACTCTGAGCCCCTCCCGGATGGCCGAACTTCTCACCCTATCTCTAAGGGAGAGGCCAGCCACCCTTCGGAGGAAGCTCATTTCTGCCCTTTTAAACATTTCCAAATAATTTTATCTTTCATTAAAAAAACAACTTATCAATGTTGGATGTCATCAATTATATCCTAATTTCTTGGCATCCCATGGATGCTGGAGAATCAGGAGAGTTTGTTTTTATGTGGGTTTTTGTTTTTTAATTGCAATTAATTTCTCATCTAGGGCTGAAAGATCACATGCTCCTTGTCCTCCACCTTTTTTCTTCTTTTTGTTGAAGTCCGTTTTCATATCAGTCCAAACTTTCTTTTTAACAACTTGAGCGTCTGGCTTTCTCCTCGGACTTCGGAAATCGTTTTTTACAGTCTGACTTTGTCCTTCTTTTTTGCTTTAGTAATGCAGACATCTTTCTCTCACTCTCTCCACTTCACCTTCAGGTATACATGCTTCCTCAGATAGAGAAATCAGGTGTTGCTGCATGTAGATTCCAGGCAGTAAACATGAGACAGTTGATTTAGAAGGAATCTTATTTACTGACTTACGCAGAGCAGTAAGAAAAAAATTGGCCAGTGTGTACATGCTATAAATGCAACACTGATTCAACAGAATAAGAAGGGGTCACACACACATATTAATACAAAAAAAACATTGTTTCTACAACAGTTTGTCACTGTGTCATTTCTATTGGGATATCTATCATCTAATACAATTGTTTTGTTTCCCCAGGGTGAAATCGATGCTGCTGTCCAGCTGCTGCTAAAGTTGAAAGTGGACTATAAACAGATGACGGGCCAAGATTATAAGGCAGGATGTCCACCTTCAGAAAACCTGATTATGTCAAACAATGGGCCTGCAGCAGATGACTGTGATGGAGAAGACTTAGTTGACCCGTGGAATGTTTCTGCTTCCAGCACCAAAGGAGTAGATTATGATAAACTCATAGGTGGGTTTTTCAATGAGCTTTAATTCTTCACTTCAAGAGCTGTACTTCACTAATACATTAATATGAGGTAATTTAAGCTGAATAACTGGTGAATGTGTGATGTCACTCCCTAGTGAGGTTTGGCAGCAGTAAAATTGACAAGGAGCTGTTGGAAAGAATAGAAAAAGTCTCGGGACAGAGAGCCCATCACTTCCTAAGAAGAGGAATCTTCTTCTCACACAGGTCAGCTTTCCATGGGTTTTGTTGTTTCTAATTTACCAATTTTTGTTGAAAAGATGGTCTTGTAAATGATTATATGGCACGTCATCAGTAATGTTGAATCATGGTTAATGTTTACTTGCTATTCCAAATGAAAACATAAAGATAGGAGCGTATTGAGAACACACATTGATAATTCCTTCCTATTACTGTTTCTGCCAGAGATATGCATCAGATCTTAGATGCGTATGAAAAGCACAAGTCCTTCTACCTTTACACCGGCAGAGGTCCGTCCTCAGAGGCCATGCACGTTGGTCACCTCATCCCTTTCATCTTTACCAAGTGAGTTCTACCTCTTAATTCTGTGATGTCAATGAAATTTAAAGCATTAAGTGGCTCTGTGACATCTCTCAGCCTGATCGCAATATTGTGTTCAATTATCTAAAATTATTGATTCCATGCTCAGTGAATTTTACGTTTAGACTTTTAGACTAAGTTAAAACTGAAGGTAGCGTCCTCATTCCAGATGGCTTCAGGATGTGTTTGATATCCCCCTCGTGGTCCAGATGACCGATGACGAGAAATACCTGTGGAAAGATCTCACACTTGAGGAATGCCATCGCTTCACTGTGGAAAATGCCAAGGATATCATCGCCTGTGGCTTTGATGTCAACAAGACCTTCATCTTCTCAGACCTTGACTACATGGGGTAAAATATGCCAAGAGACTATCTTTATATGTTTATCTGGTAGACCTTGGTGTTGACATTACTGTTTCAAAACAACTAAAAAAATAAAGAACTGTGTGTGTATAGATCCATATTTTTTCCAATTCAGATGAATAGAAATGTTTTGATTCTCATTTCAATGTATTATATTCTGCAG